CCAGTTCCCAGAATGCACCATCTCGCAGAGCTGCAGCACGGTGGCAGCAGGGCCCCCCCTGCGGAGAGTTTGCAAAGTTCCCATCTGCCCCAGTTACAACCCAGGCTGGCTCCCCATTGCCACTTTCTTCACTGTGTGGCCATCCCACCATGCTGGGCATGCTGGGAGCTCAGGCTGGCCTGTAGCCCCACGTGGGCTGTGGCCAGTGTAAACTCAGGCTCACTGCAGTGCTGAGAACTGCACTGCCCCAGCCTGCTGTGGGCTGGCCCCTGCCATCCCCTGCCTCTGCTGCTGTTCACTAGATTACAACATGAGCCCCGCAGCCAGCCTCGTGCCAGCCTGGGACATGCACGCCTAGCTGTGTGCTCAGCTGAGACCACAGGTGGCTCACAGAGATACTCTGCTGAGGTGGGGCAGTGCCAGCCTGGCCCTGTGGGGCAAGCTGGACAGTAACAATGTCACTCACGTGTGTGTGACAAGGGGGGCCAGCATCATTCTCCTAATTTCACAGATGGGGAAACTGAGGCACCAAGCTGCACTTGCCCAAGGTCACAGTGCAGGATAATGGCAGAGGCGGGAGGGAACAGGACCCTGCTGGCCCATTTGCCTCTGCCCCTCGCTGGCTCCCTGCTCCAAAGGGTAGCACTGGCCACTCCCGAGGCAGGCTGACCTCTGCCATCTTCGCCCTGAGGGGGAGGGGAGGCTGCCATGCCTAGCAGCCAGCCCAGATGAGGCCCAGTGATCCTGGGGAGAGGCAAGCAGTGAAGCTGGCTGGGGCCCTGCTGCAGAGCCAGGTGCTTCCCTTGCAGGCACAGAGCAGCCAGCCCTGGCTTGGAGCCACGCAGCCAAGGGAGGCTCCTTTGGTTTGCCTGGCAGACCTGCAGCTCAAGGCTCAGCTACCACAATGGGCGAGTGCAGGAGGGGATTTCACTGCCGGCTCATGCCCCTCCCTGGCTGGGCATCAGCAGCTCCCAGCAGGAGAAGCGGCCGGGTCTCTGTGCCACTCGGCGAATACCTGGGTCCTGGCAGCAGGGCTCACGCCATGGCATGGCTGCTCCCTCCTAGCCCCTCCCTCTGCCAGGCTGGGGCGATCCCAGGAGAGGCCACTCCCAGCCCGAGGAAGCAGGTCACCCAGAGCGGTGTTGCTGGGGCAGGCTATGCAACTCTGGTGCCAGCTCTTCCCTCCTGCCCTGGACCGTCCTGGCGTGTTACGGGCACGCCACCATCCACGGAGCTCCCTCCAAGCCTCCTGTCCACCCCTTCCCCTCCCCCACAGCTTCCTCAGGTGCCTCCCCAATGGTCCCTGTCCCATAGCTGCTGCCCCCTTGCCCCCCCCCCGCAGCCTGGGGGCCATGATGAGGCACGGAGCCTCCTGCAGCTCAGGGTCAGGGTCTGGCCTGCCCTGCCCTGCAGCAGTCACTGCCCAGCCGAGTCGCCAGTCTGGGACATTACAGCTTGCTGGGGTGTGGGGGGGGAAAGAGACGGACTCCTAACGTGACCCCTGCCCAAGGGCTCAGGAAGCCACAAGCGCTGGCAGTCAGGGAAGGACAGGGCCTTGCCCATAGAGTGCTTGGGAGAGCAGGAGGGACTCAGCCTACTTTCATGCCAGGGGGTAGGAGAGGGGCAGCAGCCCCAGAGAAGAGAGGGGGAAAATCACATGAAGGTGTCGACTTTGTCCCAGGGCTGAGTCTCGCTGAGGAAGCCATCACAGAAGTTGAAGCCCTGCTCAAAGCCCCAGGGGTTGCCGAGCACCTCCCCCCTCGCCTCCTCCCAGGGGTGGTGGGGGGTGTCAGCGAAGGGGGTGAAATCCTCCCAGTGGGAAGCCCCTGGGCTTGGATGATTGGTAGCCGGGGTGCCCCACTTGCTGGCAAGGGGTATGTACCTGCCTTGCATGGCAAGGTCCACCTCTGTGGCCAGCGAGCTGAGCGCTGCGTTAATATCCAGGTCCTCGAAATTGCTGCTGTTTCCCCTTAAGACATCGTCAAAGGCATCGGCCCAGTCGAAATTTCCTCGCAGGGCTTCTGCATCTCTGCCACTAGAGGGCAGCAGAGGGGACTGGGCAGTTCTGGCTGCCAGGCAGCTGTGCTTCGGCAGAGGGCTGGGGGCATCCAGCAGGGGGCAGCGTTGGCCATGCTGGTGCAGCGGGCGGTGGGCAGCCTGGTGAGGGGTGTGCCCTGGCTGCCCATCCCCCAGATGGGGCATGGGGGACCAGAGGCTGCACCCTGCCTCCAGGGCAGGCACGGCGGGGCGCTGCCGTGGCAGGCTGTAGGGCGCAGCCGGCGGCCGTCTCCGCTTGAAAACACCATTGACGAACATATCAGCGTACTGCGGGTCGATCTCCCAGAAGCCCCCCTTGCCTGGCTCGTCCTTCTGCCGCGGCACTTTCCGGAAGCATTTGTTCAAGGACAGGTTGTGCCGGATGGAATTCTGCAGCCAAGAGAAGGAGGAACAGGCCCATGAAGGACACGGCGGCAAAAAGGGGCCAGCAGTACCTGGGCCTGCTGAGCCCTCCCAGCACCTAGAAAGTGCGTAGCATTAGCCCCATTGGACAGATGGGGCAACTGAGGCACTGGGCATTAAGGACCATGGGAGTTAGGCACCTAAAGATCTTTGAGGATTTGGGCCTAAGTGACTCACCTGGGAAAGAAACTGGATCAGAACCAGGTCTCCTGACTCCCAGTCCCAACCATTAGCACCGTTTACCCAACCTAGCCAGTCCCTTCACCTCTCCATGTCCCACTAACAAGCATGGGGTGGCCCCATATCCCTGCAGGGTTGCCAGCTTTGCCCACTACCAATATCCAGGCCCCATTGTAGAGATGGGGCCAGCAGAGTAACATACATGTAACTCACTACGCGAGTGTCTGGCGCTGGGGGCCAGGAGATTCAGGTGCTATGGCCAGGCGAAGGTCTCAGTCACGTGCAGAGCAGAATCTCTGCTTTCAGTCCCGGCTGGGAAGAAATGTGTCTGGAGGGCGACCAACGCGGGGCACCTGCCGGAGTCTGCTGAGAGCCTGACCCCGGCGCTCTTTGAGACGGGAAAATGCCCCGTGCATCTCAATGGGGCCTTAATACCAAGCCCCTCTGCTCTGGGGGCTGCCCTGCAGAGGCTGTGCAGGAGCTGAAGCATCCTCCACCAGTCTGGGCTGTCCCTTAGCCTCCAGATATGGATATAGGGCCCTTCCCTGCCCCCCTGACAGGCAGTTCTGGGCCGAGTGCAGAGAAGTGCCTGTCCACTTGAGGAGTTGAAGCAGCCTTGGTCCCCGGTGCAGCAACACCTCCCTCCTCCCCCTCCAGGGCTATGCAGCGGCTGTTGTGAAGGCATGGGTAGGTCCTGAACCAACCCCCCCATGTCACAAACAGACCCATCCAGCTGAATGGGCCACAGACGCTGGACTGCTCTTCCCTGCAGCTGGGCTCAGGAGCAAAGGGTGCATGGGCTGCAGCCAGAGATGCCCCGTCCCAGAGCTGCCCCCGGCACCTTTCTGAGCTTGAGGCTTATAAGACAACCACTAGCAAGCTAAGGTGCAGCCTGTGGGGGCAGCGAGGGCTCTTTGGGACACACTGGGCAGGTGTCACCCGCAGCCTGCCCAGCTCCTCTCCTGTGACACTCCAGGCGTCCCAGCAAAGAGCCCCTGTGGGTATAGACACCATGGACTAGTCCTTTGTCTTTCAGAGGGTCTCTGTCCTGCCCCAGAGAGCCGGCTGGACAGTGCAGCACCCGCTGCAGGAACACCAGGGGAAGGGTCGTGTGGAGCCAGGACTGTTCAGGAAAGGCCAGGAGTGTGGCTGCATGGGCTTGGCTCCCCCTTGGAGCTGGGCGGTGGCTGGGCTGGAATTACGCTGCAGCCGCCAGGGGGTCTGGCAGCAGCCCCGCAGATTAGCACTGCTTAGTCCAGCCTGCCCTGACGCCGCCCAGCAGGCGCACGCGGCCTTGGTGTGTTGCTAATGGGGACCTCAGCTCGGTCTAAGAAGAATGTGTGTTGGGGGAGGGGGGGGAGGAGAAGCTGGAAAACATGGTCCCAAGCGGCTCCCACACCCAGAGGGGAAGAGACACCCTCTATTTCTGGTGTTAGAATCACAGGCTTTTTCAGCCAGTCTCACGAGTCTTTGGGACCGGTGCGATGGTGTCGAAATGCTTGTGGTGGGTAGCATGGGTGGCCAGAAGCATTATGCCCTCCGATTCCAGCTCCCAGGAGCAGGGACAACACGCCTGGGGTCAAATCTGCCCCTTGCTCACTTGTCAGCACGGTCAGAGACCTGTCAATGCCTCCTGGGACCTCTTCACGGTCCAGAGTCCTCCCTGCCAGAGCTCAGGTGGCCCCATTAGGAGCCCTGGGTCTAGACACACAAGCCAGGTTTGTTCATCCCCTGCTCTTTATCCTTGCTATAAAGGGGCTTTTGATGAACCCAGGGACCCTGGCTCTTGGACCCCCCCCCCAGTTCCTGTCACTTATCCCTTTGAAATCCCAGCAAGCTCCTCTCCACACAGCAGAGAGTGGGGACGCGATTGCCTGCTCGTCATAGCCATGTGAGAGCTGACCCACCGAGCAAGGAGACTGCTGGGTAGGTTTGCTGGGAGCTCTCCCACAGCTGTGACCCACCCCAGAGGTGGCTGCCTTTCAGTCCCAAGCAGACACCCTCTCTACCATCTGCAGAGTGAAAGGCCCCATAGAAACAGAGGGTGGATGAGTCACCTTTCCAGTATCCCCCACTCCAGAAGACACCTGGTGGAGGAGCAGCCCCACAGCTAAACACGGTGTTTGTTGGGGTCTTCCAAGAAGCAAGAGAGAGAAAGAAAAACAGTGCCCTGCGCTCCCCACCCTCACCCCTCTGCACGCGCAGCCTTGATGGGAGTGACCGAGGCAGAAGGAATCAAATACCACGGCTCATTTATCAGCCTGCGGAGCTCCGGTCCTCGTGGTGACAGACTGAGGCCTCCATTGTCCATCACCTCAACAGGGCTGTTAATTATTCAAGCCACCGACTCACCTGCCAGCTGGGCTCAGCGTGCCGGTAGTAGCAGAAGTTCTCCATGATCCATCTGTAGATGGCTGACAAGGTGACCTTGGCCTGCTTGCTGGCCCGCAGAGCCATGCAGATAAGGGTGGCGTAGGAATAAGGGGGCTTCACCCCAGGGTTGCTCTTGTAATCGATCTCTGCAGCGCCAAGGCCAGGCAGGTAGCTGGTGCCAGGGGAGGTGGCTGCGGAAGTGGGTTTGCCCAGACGCGGGGGCATCCCCTTGGCCGCAGTGTCTCCTGCCGGTGGGCTGGCCGGGGCCTCGGACCCTTGGAAGAGCTGCTGGGGAGGCTGGTGGAGAGGGTGGCTGGGAACAGGTGGTGTCTCCGGATCAGCAGTGATGATGGAAAAGTCTTGGAGCCACTGCAGGCTGGTGAGGCTGTCATCCAAGGTCACAGCCCCACCCACATTGTCCCGGTCCTCGGGGTGCAGCAGCAACCACTTCTCCTTGAACCGGGCAGCGATGTCGGGCGAGACGAGGATGGGCATCCTCTGCGGACACGCTCCCTCCACTCCCACTGCAGGGCAGAGCAGAGGCACGTCAGCCATAGGCCAGCCCTCTCTCATGCCCTGCACAGCTCCTTGTGAGACGCACCCCAGGGGAAGACAGCTCGGGGTGGAGGGAGGAGAGACCCAGGCTGCAGGCATGGACAGCTAGGGCCAGGGCTTCCAGGAGCTGCTGGGGACAGCACAGCCATCTGGATCTTTCCCTGGGAGCACAGCCCTTCTGCCAGGTGGAGTTGGCAGCAACCAGGGGTCCCTCTTAACAATGCAACACAGAACTGGCTCGAGCCCCAACCCAGTAATCAGGGAAAACTAAACACCCCCCAACCCCGGTGCCTCTAAGAGGCAACATCGCCCCACTCACAAGCAGAGTCTGTGCCTAGTGGAGAAAACGTAATCCAAGGGGAAACTACCACAACTGTGATTTGAACATGTCTGCCCATGAGCAAAACTCCCACCCCAGAGTGCAGGCAGTGCCCTTTGCCTCCGTTTCTCACCTGGCGGTGTGGAAGTCCAACCAACAAATGTCCCTGTAACATGCCATCCCCACCGCACCTCACTCACAGCTGCTGTCCTTGGTCAGCAGAGACCCAGAGTTCAGGGGTGCATTCACATGAGTTCACCTCCCACCCAGGGTTGGTGGAGGAAAGAAACCTCAAGCAATGTTCGTCCGCTGCCCCTGGCCTCTTCCCTGTGCCCCTAGTGCTCAGTGATTTCAGCTCTCAGTGGGGGAATCTCACTGCTACAGGCTGGTCAGCACTAAGACCTGATTAGCAGGAATTTCAGCTCTAGCGACCATTTAAAACAAAAGACTCTCAGTGGAGCCTGATCAGTTCTGTGTTTGAACAGTGGAGTGGGGCAGGTCACCTTAAGCAGAGCCAAAACCTATGGGCACAAACTCCTCCCCTCTGCTGGCAGAGGGCATCCAAACCCTCTGCTTAGTGAGTTCAGTTCAGTTGAGGGTGACCCTCCCTCAATCAGGCCAGGCTACGCACAGTCCTGCTGCCCTTCACTCATACAACAAGGATAATGTTTCATGAGCCCTGTATTCAGCATTAAAGTGATTTGTACCCCAGCACCAGCCAGACTTGGGCAACACAGATAGACAGATTGGGTGTCTTCATGTTAATACAGTCTGGCCCTGAAGCCCTCCATCCCCAGCTCATTACCAGGTCTCAGGGGAGACCTCAGTCAGACCTTGCTGGAGGAAGCTCCAGCACAATATAACAAATATATCTGTGGCACCTTCCAGCAGGGACCTCAAAGCATCTTCCAACCCCATGTTACCATCTGCATTTACACATGGGAAACTGAGGCAGTACAGGGACCTGCCCAGGGAGCACCAAGGAGAAGGGCAAGGAATCAGCTGGTTCTCACTCTTGGAAAATGCTCCCTCAAATACACATTCCCCTTTTGTGCTGAGTGAGCGCAGCGCCCAGGCTTGGAGTCCCCTGCTCCCCAGCCCCACGGGCAATAGACGGAGCCGTGCAGCCAGCACAGAGACAAAGGCCGAACAGTTGCCACCTGCAAACAAAACAGAATCCACCTGCTGCGAGACGAGTTACACTGGCACCTGGCTCTGCCCTGCTCACCTGGGACGTGCAGTGTGGAAAACAAAAGTGCTGAGGAGGCCCCCAGGGAGGCGTTCTCCTGTTACCACAGGTGGCCAGGTGCTGCCACTAAAGGGCTCACGTTGATGCTCATTAAGGTAGTGCACCGACAGACCGGGCGTGCTGCACAGCAAACGGGGAACACAATGCCACTGGGGAGGGCAGCTCAGGGTGGCCCCAGGCGCTAGCAGCTTGAGAATGGAACAGCAGCCATGTGTGTGGCAGAGAGCCTGGAGAACCAGACCCATCGCTAGCCGCCCGGCAGGCTGGAGCGGTGGCAGGATGGGGCAGCTCAGAAAGTCCCCTCTCACTCAATGGCGCCTGGGCTCCTCAGCAAACCTTACAGCAGGTAGCGCCAACCTGGGGCATCTACAAGAGGGGCCCTTGTACTCTACGCCTGACACAGCTGGACCCACAGCAGGCTTCATGAGAGTCCCTGACTGCCCTGCACTCAGGGGTTACTGCCACCTGGGAGGCAGGGCAACGTCAAGCATAGCCTGTTACAGACAGGGAAACTGAGGCACGGAGCTAGTCTCTCCGGGTCACGCAGAGCCAGGACTAGAACACAAGAGTTCCCGGCCAAGCCCCAGACCCTCTGTCGAAGGCGATCCCCCCACTCCCCACTCAGGAAGGGGATGAAGAGCCCTCACAGCTCCTAACGTCTGAGAGACCCCCTCTGCCGCAACCCACAAAGTGAACACGACACTGGTTATGCAACTAGGCTAGAGGCACGGATGCGTGCGGATCCGATCGGATCCATAGCTCCAGGTCCTGGGGCCTCCAGACAGAGCCAGCGTTGCAAGGCCAATCCCCCGCCCCGGGACCTGCTCTCCCCACCCAGCCTTTCCTTTGGGGGCAGATCAGGAAAGGAGCCACGTTCAGACGAGATCCAGATCCAAACCCGAAGCCCGCACATCTGCCCAGTCCCATCCGATGCGCTCGTCGCGTGCCTCGCAGCCTGGGTGCTGGGGAAC